CTGATAGATATTTACAGAACTCTCCACCCCAAATCCACAGAATACACATTCTTCTCAGCACCACATCACACCTACTCTAAAATTGACCACATAATTGGAAGTAAAGCACTGCTCAACAAATGCAAAACAACTGAAATCATAACAAACAGCCTCTCAGACCATAGTGCAATCAAGTTAGAACTCAGAATTCAGAAACCAACCCAGAACCACACAGCTTCATGGAAACTGAACAACTGGCTCTTGAACGTTGACTGGGTAAACAACGAAATGAAGGCAGAAATAAAGAAGTTCTTCGAAACCAATGAGAACGAAGACACAACGTACCAGATCCTCTGGGACACATTTAAAGCAGTCTCTAGAGGAAAGTATATAGCAATAAGTGCCCATATGAGGAGAATGGAGAGATCCAAAATTGACACCCTATCATCAAAATTGAAAGAGCTAGAGGAGCAAGATCAAAAAAACTCAAAACCCAGCAGAAGACAAGAAATAACTAAGATCAGAGCTGAGCTGAAGGAGATAGAGACACGAAAAACCCTTCAAAAAATCAATAAATCCAAGAGCTGGTTTTTTGAAAAGATCAACAAAATAGACCACTAGCCAGATTGATTAAAAAGAAAAGAGAGAACAACAAAATAGATGCAATAAAAAATGATAAAGGGGAAATCACCACAGATTCCACAGAAATTCAAACCATCATCAGAGAATATTACAAACAACTCTATGCACATAAACTAGTAAACCTGGAAGAAATGGATAAATTCCTGAACTCCTGTGTCCTCCCAAGCCTAAACCAGGAGGAAGCTGAAACTATGAATAGACCAATAACAAGGTCTGAAGTTGAGGCAGCAATTAAGAGCCTACCTCACAAAAAAAGCCCAGGTCCAGATGGGTTCACAGCCGAATTCTACCAGACACACAAGGAGGAGCTGGTACCATTCCTTCTAAAACTATTTCAAACAATCCAAAAAGAGGGAATCCTTCCCAAATCATTTTATGAGACCAACATCATCCTGATACCAAAACCCGGCAGAGACCCAACAGGAAAAGAAAACTTCAGGCCAATATCCATGATGAACATAGATGCAAAAATCTTCAATAAAATATTGGCAAGCCGATTGCAACAGCAAATCAAAAAACTTATTCATCATGATCAAGTAGGATTCATCCCAGGGATGCAAGGCTGGTTCAACATACTCAAGTCTATCAACGTAATTCACCACATAAACAGAACCAAAAACAAAACCACATGATTATCTCAATTGATGCAGAGAAGGCATTTGACAAAATTCAACAGCACTTTATGCTAAAAACCCTCAATAAACTCGGTATCGATGGAACGTATCTCAAAGTAATAAAAGCTATTTATGACAAACCAACAGCCAATATCATACTGAGTGGGCAAAAACTGGAAGCACTGGAAGCATTCCCTTTAAAATCTGGCACCAGACAAGGATGCCCTCTCTCACCACTCCTATTCAATATAGTACTGGAAGTTCTAGCCAGAGCAATCAGGCAAGAAAAAGAAATAAAGGGTATTCAAATAGGAAAGGTGGAAGCCAAATCGTCTCTATTTGCAGACGACATGATAGTATACCTAGAAGACCCCATTGCCTCAGCCCAAAAACTCCTGAAACTGATAAGCACCTTCAGCAAAGTCTCAGGATATAAAATCAATGTGCAAAAATCACAAGCATTCGTCTACACCAATAACAGACTTAAAGAAAGCCAAATCAAGAGCGAACTGCCATTTGCAATTGCTACAAAAAGAATAAAATACCTTGGAATACAACTCACAAGGAACATAAGAGACCTCTTCAAGGAGAACTACAAACCACTGCTCAACGAAATCAGAGAGGACACAAACAGATGGAGAAACATTCCATGTTCATGGTCAGGAAGAATTAATATCGTGAAAATGGCTATACTGCCCAAAGTAATTTACAGAATCAACGCTATCCCCATCAAGCTACCATTGACTTTCTTCACAGAACTGGAAAAAACCACCATGAACTTCATATGGAACCAAAAGAGAGCCCGCATAGCCAAGTCAATTCTAAGCAAAAAGAACACAGCGGGGGGCATCACACTACCGGATTTCAAACTATACTACAAGGCTACAGTAATCAAAACAGCATGGTACTGCTACCAAAACAGAGATATAGACCAATGGAACAAAACAGAGGCACCGGAGGCAACACAACATACATACAACTATACAGTCTTTGATAAACCTGACAAAAACAAGCCATGGGGAAAGGATTCCATGTTTAACAAATGGTGTTGGGAAAACTGGCTAGCCATGTGCAGAAAGCAGAAACTGGACCCCTTCCTGACACCTTACACTAAAATTAACTCCAGATGGATTAAAGACTTAAACATAAGACCTGGCACCATAAAAACCCTAGAAGGAAATCTAGGCAAAACCATCCAGGACATAGGAGTAGGCAAGGACTTCATGAACAAAACACCAAAAGCATTGGCAACAAAAGCCAAAATAGACAAATGGGACCTAATGAAACTCCACAGCTTCTGCACGGCAAAAGAAACAGTCACTAGAGTGGATCGGCAACCAACAGAATGGGAAAAAACTTTCGCAGTCTACCCATCTGACAAAGGGCTGATATCCAGAATATACAAAGAACTCAAACAGATTTACAGGAAAAAAACAAACAAGCCCATTCAAAAGTGGGCAAAGGATATGAACAGATACTTTACGAAAGAAGACATATATGAGGCCAACAATCATATGAAAAAATGCTCATCGTCACTGGTCATCAGAGAGATGCAAATCAAAACCACATTGAGATACCATCTCACGCCAGTTAGAATGGCGATCATTAAAAAATCTGGAGACAACAGATGCTGGAGAGGATGTGGAGAAAAAGGAACACTTTTACACTGTTGGTGGGAGTGTAAATTAGTTCAATCATTGTGGAAGACAGTGTGGCGATTCCTCAAGGCCTTAGAAATAGAAATTCCATTTGACCCAGCAATCCCATTACTGGGTATATATCCAAAAGACTATAAATCGTTCTACTATAAGGACACATGTACACGAATGTTCATTGCAGCACTGTTTACAATAGCAAAGACCTGGAATCAACCCAAATGCCCATTGATAATAGACTGGATTGGAAAAATGTGGCACATATACACCATGGAATATTATGTAGCAATCAGAAATGATGAGTTAGTGTCATTTGTAGGGACATGGATGAATCTGGAGAACATCATCCTCAGCAAACTGACACAAGAACAGAAAATGAAACACCGCATATTCTCACTCATAGGCGGGTGATGAAAAATGAGAACACATGGACATAGAAAGGGGAGTACTAAACACTGGAGTCTATTGGGGGGGAAAGGGGAGGGCCAGTGGGAGGGGGAGGTGGGGAGGGATAGCCTGGGGAGAAATGCCAAATGTGGGTGAAGGGGAGAAGAAAAGCAAAGCACACTGCCATGTGTGTACCTACGCAACTGTCTTGCATGCTCTGCTCATGTACCCCAAAACCTATAATCCAATAAAAAATTTAAAAAAAAAAATAAATAAAAAATAAAATAAAATAAAATAAAAAAGAAATGAAAGGAAAAATAGCCATTCTTTTGCCTCATTTCCAAGTTCTGAATAATTTTTTTTTTTTTTTTCAAGACAAAGTCTCACTCTGTCACCTAGGCTGGAGTGCAGTGGCACGATCTCAGCTCACTGCAACCTCAGCCTCCCAGGTTCAAGCAATTCTCCTGCCTCAGCCTTTCAAGTAGCTGGGATTACAGGCATGCGCTACCATGCCCAGCTAATTTTGTATTTTTAGTAGTGATGAAGTTTCACCATGGTCAGGCCGATCTCCAACTTCTGACTTCAGGTGATCCGCCCACCTCAGCCTCCCAAAGTGCTGGGACTACAGGTGTAAGCCACCACTCCTGGCCAATTTTTCTTTCTTAACAATATAAATACTATCTCTTATGTATTCTTTTGCAATATGACTTTTTACTCAGTGTAATGAGTGAAAATTCTCCTCTTGTTCATTAATTCACTATTGTATGTTGGTCTATGTAAGCATTATCACAATTTGTTTATTCATTCCCTAGATGAAGTACATTTGCTTTCAAGGTTTTGCTATTATAAGCAAATCTCATACCTTTTATCAAACAATAATTTTGTCTCATCAATCAGCATTTGATTTACTTTGTTCCTTTGTTCTAATATTAAGCACACAGCTATAATTGTAATTTCATAATGGTTAAATATAAAATATTTTCCAAAACATCACAAATCTTTTTTTTTAACTACACATTTTTGGTCTTAAATTTTTTTTTTTTTTTTTTTTTTGAGATGGAATCTTGCTCTGTTGCCAGGCTGGAGTGTGGAGTGCAGTGGCACGATCTTGGCTCACTTCAACCTCTGCCTCCCGGGTTCAAGCCATTCCCCTGCCTCAGCTTCCTAAGTAGCTGGGACTACAGGTGCATGCCACCATGCCCATCTAATTTTTGTTTTTTAGTAGAGACGGGGTTTTGCCGTGTTGGCCAGTATGGTCTCAATCTCTTGTTTGGTCTTAATTTTAAGTGGCTTTACTATATATGGTTCTTTTCCTTTTTTCCCATACTAATTACTGGTACTGGCCATATATATCCAAAATCAAATAGTAGTGTTCTTTTTAAGGTATAAATGGGATGTGACGTAGAAGGGGCATAGTAGGGACTTCACCTGTTTTGGCAAATTTTTTCTTAATATAGATGGTAGGCATGTGGAATTTGTAACAAAAAGTTCTGTCTCCAGCTTAGCTTCTGTTACGTAAAACCATATAATTAAGTTAAACTGGATCTGGTTTGACACAATGTAGGAGACATTAATAATTACTCCAGAACAACAGGCATAAACTAGCAACTCCCACAGGCAAAAGGGGAAAATAGAGAGTGTAGGGCTGGGACATAAGCCCATGTCACCTACCTCCAAGTTTCATGGACCTTTTCCTTCTCTGCGTTACTTTCTTCTTTGCTAGACTGTCCTCACATACCTGATCTGCACACGGAATTAGACGAGGCCATCAGGCTGGTCAACATATCCAATCAGCAGTATGGCCAGATTCTCCAGGTGACCCGGAAGCACTTGGAGGACACTGCCTATCTGGTGGAGAAGATGAGAGGGCAATTTGGCTGGGTATCCGAACTGGCAGACCAGACTCCAGAAACGGAGATCATCTTTAATTCAATACAGGTAAAGGTGAGACCCAAGAGCAGTTGCAGAGATGACATGTGCACACCTTGATTTCACTGTTAATTTACTTACGAATTGTATCTGAATTTGAAAATAAGCTGTAGAGGGTATTCATATTTCCATTGTGACTGCATACAGGCTGACTTGATTTAACATAGTTCATGGTCTTAGAAAACAAGAAACTCTATAAAGAAAATCAATTTAAAATACAAAATACTTTATAATCCAGAAATGGCTAATTCTGCTTAGAGTTATAGGGCTGTAACTAACAGAGGTAACCTTGAAGAAATCTGGCCAATGTAGTTTTTAAGAGAGAAGACTTACAAATAAAGTAATTTGAGTTCAAAATTTGACTCTGAAACTTACCAGCTAAGTAAGCTTGGGAAAGTACCTGAACCATTCTAGGCCTCAGTTGTCACCTGTAAAGTGGGATTAATAATAGCTATCTTAACATGTACACCTACAAATTGGCTAGTATAGACTGCTTCCACAAAACAAGAGCTTTGTAAATTATAGCTCTTATTAGTTGCCAACACAATAAAGCCACTGAGTTATCCTGAGAATTCATCATTTATGTGTTACTCTTCACATAAAAACATATTGCCAGCTGGGCACAGTGGCTCATGCCTGTAATCCCAGCATTTTGGGAGGCCGAGGTGGGTGGATCACTTCAGGTCAGGAGTGCAAGACCAGCCTGGCCAACATGGTGAAACCCCATCTCTACAAAAATATAAAAAAATTAGCCAGGTGTGGTGATGCATGCCTGTAATCCTAGCCACTCAGGAGGCTGAGGTAGGAGAATCGCTTGAACCCGAGAGGCAGAGGTTGTAGTGAGCTGAGATCGTGCTACTACACTCCAGTCTGGGTGACAGAGTGAAACTCTGTCTCAGAAAAAAAAAAGAAAACAAAACCATATTGCCATCTTAAATTGCGCAGATACCATGACTCCCAGATTCAGTCAATAACTTTCTGCATAACATGAAAGTGACTGACCTTTCTTCCTAAGGTATCCCCAATCCAACACACACACATTACATTAATCTACATATGCACCAGGCTCGTGATTCCTGATGAGGCTGGTATTGAGGGGTTCCCCAAAAGACCTGGATACAAAAATTACTAGGCAGAGCAATTGAAGAATTGCAATATTGCAAATACAAATGCAGTATTCTGTGTAGTATGTTATGCTGGTGCCCTACCCAGATCCCTGGGGATCCCTTTTACCAGCTCCCACTGGTGCTGCTGCTGCTGCTAACTGCTTATCCTTGAAACTTTCTCCAAAAGATTGTCCTTGGTGCACTTACACCCCAGAGCTTCCTGCATGATCTGGCTGAGGCTAAGCTCATCTGAAGCCATATCCTTGCTTAGCTTCTTTCACTTCTCTAGTTTGCTTTCCTCATCCCCTTAAAAGTTGCACCTGAGAGCACTCCTTTATAAGCCACTTCTGTCAGAATCTCAGGCACTGCTTCCAGGAAATTTGACTTACAGCATTCTATAATCCAGCATTTCTCTCTTTTTTCAAACAACAAAGCTGTGGATCATGTATGATTTGAGAAATAAATTTAGAAAATCACAGCAAGCTCATCAGAAAACCAAATTTAAAAACCATACAAAAAATACAATAGGACAAAGTAGAAAATATTAGCATGCATTGCATTTCATAAGTCATATGCACATCGTGGAACTTTCATTTCCATTTTGTATGTGTATATGTGTGTAAACACATAAACATGTAGACATACGTATGTGTTTTGAGTCATGATATCAAGTGTATTTGTTACTACAGACCACAGTCAAAGAGTTTTGAAAGCCACTGTTCCAATCCCTGCCAGCTCTCTGATTCTATAACTCCATCAGATCATACTATAGGAAGGTTTAAGATAATTCAATATATTTGATCATCCTCACATATGTAGACTTTTAATTTAATGATGAAAAAATCTTGTCTTGAAGAATAAAGCCTGAAGAAAAATGTTAGCAGTGCTTTCAACCTTTAGAAAGCTACAGCCAGTATTTAATTTTTACCATTGTCAGTACTGTCTATTCTGTGCTTCAACTTACTTCCATTCTATGGCGATCGTTAAAAAATCTGGAGACAACAGATGCTGGAGGGGATGTGGAGAAATAGGAACATTTTTACACTGTTGGTGGGAGTGTAAATTAGTTCACCCATTGTGGAAGACAGTGTGGTAATTCCTCAAGGACCTAGAAATAGAAATTCCATTTGACCCAGCAATCCTATTACTGGGTATATATCCAAAGGACAATAAATCATTCTATGATAAGGGCACATGCACACGAATGTTCATTGCAGCAGTGTTTACAATAGCAAAGACTTGGAACCAACCCAAATGCTCATCGTTGACAGACTGGACAGGGAAAATGTGGCACATATACACCATGGAATATTATGCAGCCATCACAAACGATGAGTTCGTGTTCTTTGTAGGGACATGGATGAACCTGGAGAACATCATTCTCAGCAAACTGACACAAGAACAGAAAATGAAATACCGCATGTTCTCACTCATAGGTGGGTGTTGAACAATGAGAACACATGGATGCAGGGAGGGGAGCATCACACACCGGGGTCTGTCAGGGGGAAGTAGTGGAAGAATGGGGTGGGGTGGGGAGTTGGGGAGAGATAGCATGGAAAGAAATTCCAGATATAGGTGATGGGGAGGAAGGCAGCAAATCACACTGCCATGTGTGTACCTATGCAACAATCTTGCATGTTCTTCACATGTACCCCAAAACCTAAAATGTAATAAAAAAAATTACGCCGGGTGCAGTGGCTCACCCCTATAATCCCAGCACTTTGGGAGGCCGAGGCGGGTGGATCACGAGGTCAAGAGATCAAGACCATCCTGGTCAATGAGGTGAAACCCCGTCTCTACTAAAAATACAAAAATTAGCTGGGCATGGTGGCACGCGCCTGTAGTCCCAGCTACTCGGGAGGCTGAGGCAGGAGAATTGCTTGAACCCAGGAGGCGGAGGTTACGGTGAGCCGAGATCGCGCCATTGCACTCCAGCCTGGGTAACAAGAGCGAAAAACTCCGTCTCAAAAACAAAAATTTACTTCCCCTCTAGTGTCTCTGAGTAACACTAACAGATTTATCTAAAATTCTTTATGCTGATAACAAAGGCACTTCTATATGAAACCTCCACATAAAATTATGGTTTTCAATTATAAATGTTTATAACAATTATTACCACTAACGCACTTATTAGGTGTCAGGCAGTGTTCTAAGAACTTTTTCCATATATCAGATCATTTAATACCCTCCTTAACTATATAAGGGAAGTAGTGTTCCTTCCCCGGTTTTTCAAATGAGGCACAAAGGAGGTTAAGCAACTTGTCTGAGCTCACACAGCTAGTAAATGGTAGAATTATAATTCAAACTCAAGCAGTGTTTCTCTAGAATGAGTAAACGTAACCACTTTGCTAAACTGCCTGTGAAGTTACTTTTCTCAAAACAGCTCTTATTTCACCATGTCAAGTACAAACTCATAAAATAGCGAGTGCTGAAGAGAAGCTTTATCAAAGAAATAAACAAATTCCAGCAAGTGAAAACGGTATGGCCCCTGGTTGTATAATAGTTACATGAGTGTTTACTTTAGAATTACTTATACCAAACATAAATACTTTAGGCAGTTTTTATGTATGTTATACTCACTGAAAGAGAAGGGAAATATTTTAAAATCATTCTCTTAAGGTTACATCAAGTCGCATCAGTTCAGTTCCATTTGAATGATTCAAATCAAAGTCTATGCACTTGAGAATTCATTCAGAGTAGCATAATTTTTTTTTTTTTCAATGAACGAGAGGTTCTTATGTTGCCCAGGCTTGCCTTGAATGCGTAGCCTCACCTCAAGTGCCAGGACAACTGGCCTGAGCTACTGTGGCTCCCGAGAGTAACATATGTGTTATTCATTAAGAGTAACATAAATTTCACATTGATTCTTGCCAAAAATCACACATACAACCATAAACTATAAATTTCTAGGAAAACTCGGTACAAAACTTGGTGCAATGCAATGAAGTTTGTGGCACAGACAGTAATACTCAGCAAACATCCCACCTCCTCACTCAAAATTTCCAGCTCTGCTTGTGGTTAAATGTTGCCGTGTGGCAGGTTCTGGCCAATGAGGCATGAGTAAGACTGAAAAGGGTTCTTTGTAGACTGAGACAGTGAAGAGCCTATGAGTGCTCAACTGTTCTATTTTTCTGCTGAGGGCACAAAGAAAGCCGTGAATTCATCTGCTACAGCTATGAGAAAATGTGCTTCTGCCTACCAGGCTGGTCAGTTTTACCAGTATGGAGCCCTTGTAACAGACACATAACACAAACAAGAAATAAATCTTTGTTGTATGAAGCCCTAGGAATGCTAAGACTAATCTGTTACCTCAGCACAACTTAGCCTATCCTGACTAATGTGGTATTAAATTACTATTGAACGTGTATTGGGATTTAGTCATCTTTTACTATATAATCCTTCTTCCGTAGGCAGTTCCAAGATTTCATGAAGGAAGTATTTCCAAACAAGATGAAACAATGATGACAGACGTAAGCATTCTTCCTTCCTCTAATTTCACACTCAAGATCCCTCTTGAAGAAAGTGCTGAGAGTTCTACCTTCATTGGCTACGTAGTGGCAAAAGCTCTACAGCATTTTAAGGAACATCTTAAAACTTGGTAAGCAGAGTGCCTGGTTAGGAATGCCTGTGGACAGGCATAGTTAATTCCCGAAAGGAAAGAACAAAACTTGTTTCAAAATACCTGGAAAATATTTTTAACCTCTTAAAGACATGAAAACAAACAAGACGGCATTTTCTGCCTATCAAATTTGCAAATTAAAAAAAACCCACGAAATCTTGATAGGAATGTGATAAAATGGGAATTCTCATATGTCATGTGTTGGTAGGAAAATACACTGGTTTTCTTTCTTTTTGAAAGCTATTTGATTATGCATATGAAAAGCCGTACATTTTTTAATATAATAATTCCACTTCTGAAATCAATCCTAAGGAATAAATCTAAACTTGATGAGAAGTTCTCCCTCCAAGATCTACATTTGCAAAATTATTTAAAATATTACAATGTTAAATGTAATCTTAATATTTAAAAACAAGAGTGTGGTTAAGTAAATTATGACTAAATACACTCAATGTGTTTTATAAAACATTAAAAATATTTTAAAATTTTAAATGAGGACATGCTAACTACTTTAACAAGACCTTTATTATAAGCCAGTCTTGGAGGTAATATTATTATCATCATTTTACAGAAAAAGATCCTGAGGCTCATTGTCCAAGTTCCAATGAACAACTTGGGTCAGGGGTGGTAAAGCAGAGTGTGGAGCCAGTTCTCTCTCTGACATCATCACACTGTACTGCTTCCTGTTAAGCTATTTGCTCAAAAAATGCAAAATATAAAAATGTAGGTAATGCTATCAACCTTAAAAAATAATTACATTTTAAGTTACCATTCATAAGGGACCTTGTTAGTACATCACCCACAATGTGTAGTTAAGCTAGATGTGACAGGATTTGCTGCATCTCCCTTTACTTTTGAACTTTGGAGGACTTTTTTTTTTTTCTAGCTATATCAAATGACCAATATTTTTAGCATCTACTAAGTTTAGATACAGGAACTAGGTACTCTGAAAGAGAAAATGAGAAAGTTGACAAGATCTTGTCCCCAAGGAGCTTCCTATCTAATGGGGCACAAGACAGACAGACAGACAGACAGACACACACACACACACACACACACACACACAAAACTGTAAAGCAAGGCAGGATTTAGAGAGTGCACAAGAGCTGGCCCTGGGAGTTCAGGGGAGGGAAGAAACTTCTGAGTTGGATATATTCCCTTTTCTCTCTTCCTTTCTCACTGTCCTTCTGTCCCCTCTCTTTTCCCCTTTCCTCTCCCTCCTCCCACTCTCTCCTTTCCCTTTCTTTCCTTTTTAAATTTTCTTTCTTTATTTTATTTTATTTTATTTTTTTGAGACAGAGTCTCGTTCTGTCCCCCAGACTGGATCTTGGCTCACTGCAAACGTGGCCTTCTGCGTTCAAACAATTCTTGTGTCTCAGCCTCCTGAGTAGCTGGGATTACAGGCATGCACCACTATGCCTGGCCCCTTTTTATATTTCTTAGTAGAGACAGGATTTTGCCATGTTGGCGAGGCTGGTCTTGAAATCCTGACCTCAGGTACTTTGAAAGTGCCCCCTCGGCCTCCCAAAGTGATGGGATTACAGGCATGAGCCACACCATGTCCGGCCTTCTCTCCCTTTCTTAAAAATACATCAATTAATTAAATATATAAATGTAGATACAAACATGGAGAATCAAAGTGTACAGATTAGAGAGGAGACAATTCCAAAAAGGGGCATGGCATAGGCAAATATGGCAAGGAAGAGTATAACATCTAGGTACTGGGGATGCTGGGAAGTCCTGCTAAGCTGGTCCCCCTCCCACTGTGGGGCTTTTGAGCTTCCCTGTGTCAGGGCACCTCTCCTCTGTGAGTTTGGGTTCTTTCTTTGATTGCAAGCAACCAAGACCAGCTCAGCTAAAAGAAATGAAAGGATGCTGACTCCTGAATCAGAGTGGAGGCTGGACAGCTATCCCCAGAGCCGGGCAGAAATGGGTTGGTCTAGAGTCCGAGAGGAGGAAACCAATGGACAGCTGCTTCAGGGCCCAGCAGGCAGGGTGAAGCAGCTGTAGATGATTTTAGTCCTAGGTCACTCTGCTCAAAACATGACTTGCCAGGAGGAATCTGGCTGGCCCAGCTGGGTCATGTATGTTTACCTCTAAACCAGGAGAGAGGGGAGTGTTGGTTGACAGTCCCCATGTAGTACCTCTTTGTCTAGGTTCCTGAGTTATCAACAGATCTCAGTTCAAATAGTCACTTCTTCAGGGGCAATATGTCCTCTCCTACCCATAAACTAGGGGCAACATACCTTCTCTCCCCTTTCATACATGACCATAACACCATGTACCACTCAACTCTTGTAATTTGACATTTACCCAAGTGGCTCTTTGACAAACATTCATCTCCATCCCTAGACCTACATTCCATATGAGGGTGCCACCGTTCTAGGGTTTTTGCTCTTCTCCTTGTCAGTGGGGACCTAGGACTGTGGATGGCACAGGGCAGACCCTCAATATTTGTTGAATAAATTAATTAACAAACACACGTAAATGTTAGTAGAATACAACAAGAGTAACCGCAGGTGAAGGTGGTAAGCAAAGGTGGGAAGAGGTCAGGGCTCTGAGTGCCCAGCTATGGAGTTTGAGCTGCATTCTACAGAGCTGGTGAGACGCGATAGGTTTTTGAAAAAGGAAACCTCATGCTGGTGCTTCAGCAGATACTGTCTATGCATTTGTAGCCAAATCAAAGTATTTTCCATAAAGTCATCTATCTCTTCCCAGATGTTGGGACTTCCAATGACAATGGGAAGTGAGACATTGAGTAATTGAGAGATCAAGCAATTTACTAACAAGGCACACAAAGTGATTTTTCACAAAGGCAATGTTTTTCTTTTTTATGCATAGTTTTAAAATTATAAAACTAACAAAATCACAATTACCAAACATTTAGATGACAAAAATTATCCATAATCCCACCATCTTAACACAACCACTGTTATTACGATTTTCCTTATTCACATTTTCTACTTATTTTCTTAGATTCCAAGAAATAGAACTACTTGTTTAAAGGTTATTAACATCTTATTGTTCTGGATATATATATATATTGCTGAATTTAATAACAGCAATGTCTGAAGTACCAGTTTCTCATATACTAACAGGCAATTTTTTTTGAGACAGATTCGCTCTGTTGTCCATGCTGGAATGCAGTGGCGTGATCTTGGTTCACTGCAACCTCCACCTCCCAGGTTCAAGCGATTCTCATGCCTCAACCTCCAAAGTATCTGGGACTACTGGCATGTGCCACCACACTTGGCTAATTTTTGTATTTTTTAATAGAGATGTGGTTTTGCCATGTTGGCCAGGCTGGTCTCAAACTCCTGGCCTCAAGTGATCCTTTTGCCTTGGCCCCCAAGTGCTGGGATTACAGGCGTGAGCCACTGTGCCCAGCCTGACATTTCAATTTTTACAATCTTCAGTAATCAATGAAAATTTTTATCTTATTGTTATAATTTTTATGGTTTTCTATGCATGAGAATAAACATTTTCCAAGTTTGTTTACTGATTTTTTAATGTGCATCTTATTCAGTGTCATGGATAAAATTTTGTCAATTTTCTGATTATATCAGTGCATTCAGGGTCTCAAGCCCGCCAAAGTTGAAAGAGAAAGATACTGGCAGTGGGAGGGGAGGTGGGCAAAAAAAAAAAAAAAAGAGAGAGAGAAAGATAAAGGGAAAAACCAGGAAAGATGGTAGAAAAGAATTACCCTGGCATTTTCAATCACGTAAACATTTGTTAGGTGCCTAACTGCAGGTATACAGCTCACTAAAACATGAATTCCAATTTTATAGGGTGAAACATATCTTTAGAACCCTCTTCTGGAACTTTCATCTAGTTATCTAGCATCCTAAATGCCTGGTCATTCCTGATTGGTTTGCAATGTGTTTTCTTTCCCATCTCCAATTTTCACAGCTGCTGGCCCTGGGATCAAGAGTCACAGGCTGTAACACTATGCCTTGTACACCCTGAGTATTTAATAAGCTTTTGTAGATGGGTTCTTACCATCATCATCATGAAGGGCAAACATACAAAATTTGTTGACTAATGTAATGAGTCATGAATAACAGAAGCTTATTGAGCAAACACTATGTGCATGTAGAGTACAAAATAAACACTTTATTATCACATCAGAGGAAGAGGCCATCTTTTTTTTTTTTTTAACTTCCCAAGATAGGGAAGTAAAAAACAGGAAGAGGCCATCTTACAGGCTCGACAACCCAGGAAAACTGTGAAGATTTCTTCAAATTGTTAAGAATATCCATGCATATGGGTTTCACATTATTTTGCTATATACAGTATCAATTTTTCCAAAAGCCAAAAACATTAATTTTGTTACTCATCCTGGACTTTTACTCCAAGAAAAAAATACAGAGTCTGTAAATAATTTATTAGTATTTTGATCATTGCTGCATTTTTTTTTAAGGTAAGAAGATCTAATGCATCCTATATCCAGGAAGTAGAATTATCTCTTCATCTGGGACCAGGAAATCCTGAAATAAAAAAGGACAATGCAATAAACATAGTTGCAGGAAAGTATGTTAGCTATATACTATGAAGTACTCTTAGTTTACTTATGTTGAACAGCTTAGCTATTAATACTCAAATTGAGTTAAAAGAAAAATTCCTTCTTAAAAAAATCAAATATTATATGTGTTACCTTTTATGGTACTTTGGTAGTTCTTTGTATAATGAATAAATACTAAATCACCTGGGTGTCTATGTTCTATCACTTCTACAAACATGTCACTTTCTAATTAACAAAGTGTTCTTCCTTTAGTTTGCTTTTGCCCTTAAAATATATATAATTGGCCAGGCACGGTGGCTCAAGCCTGTAATCCCAGCACTTTGGGAGGCTGCACCTCAGGTCAGCAGTTCGAGAGCAGCCTGACCAACGTGGAGAAACCCGTCTCCACTAAAAATACAAAAAAATTAGCTGGGCGTGGTGGCGCCTTGCCTGTAATCCCAGCTACTTGGGAGGCTGAGGCAGGAGATTGCTTGAACCTGGGAAGCGGAGGTGGTTGCGGTGAGCTGAGATCATACCATTGCACTCCAGCCAGGGCAACAAGAGCAAAACTCCATCTCAAAAGAAAAAATTTATAGATATATAAAATTATAAATTATATATATATATATATATATATATATATATATATATATAACTATATATACGTAGTTGACTTTTTTGATTCATTCCTTTATTTAGTAAAGACCAATAGCTTATGTATAGTCTTTTTAAAAATTGTGGTAAAATACACATGGCGTGAATCTACCATTTTAACCATCTTAAAGTGCACAATTTGTGGCATTGGAATGAGTCATGATTAAGAGTTTATTGAGCAAACGCTACTTGCATGTAGTGTACACATGGCATTAAGTACAGTCACATTGTTATGAAACCATCACCACTGTCCATCTACAGAACCATTATATCTTCTCAAACTGAAACTCTGTACTTGTTAAGCACTAACTTCCCATTTCCCCTGCCCCCGAGCCCCTAGCAACCACGTCTGTACTTCTATGAATTTGACTACACTAGGTACTGCATGTAGATGGAATCATACAGTATTTGTCTTCTTTTTCTCTCTCTCTCTTTTTTTTAGACAGGATCTCACTCTGTCGCCCAGGCTGGAGTGCAGTGGTGCAATCATAGTGTCCTTTTGTGACTGGTTTATTTCACTTAGAGTAATGTTTTCAAGGTTCGTCCATGTTGTTGCATGTGTCAGAATCTCCTTCCTTTTTTAGGCTATTATTCCGTTGCATGTGTATACCCAATTTTGCTTATTCATGCAGCCATTGATGGACACTTGAGTTGCTTCCACCTTTTGGCTATTGTGAATAATGCTGGTTTGAACATGGGTGTACTACATAGTTACTTTTTTAAACTGACACAACAGTGCTGTCTTTTGACAAGCCATACGTATTTTATGGAAAACACAAGATTTTTCTGGCTGACACTCAACCTCATAATTTGGACATTGGTGCAACACAATAATAGGAGAGATATTTGTCAGTATATATCACTAAGGATTACAATCAAAGTTTATACAGTCAGTATTTCAAATTATAAAAGGAAATGTAGGCCGGGTGCCGTGGCTCACACCTGTAATCCCAGCACTTTGGGAGGTCAAGGCGGGCGGATTACCTGAGGTAAGGAGTTTGAAACCAGCCTGGCCAACATGGTGAAACCCCATACTAAAATATAAAAATTAGCCAGGTGTGGTGGCACATGCCTGTAATCCCAGCTAGTTGTCAGGCTGAGACGGGAGAATTGCTTGAACCCGGGAAGTGCAGGTTGCAGTGAGCCAAGATCAAGCCACTGTATTGCAGCCTGGGTGACAGAGTGAGATTCTTTTTTGCTGTGTGTGTGTGTGTGTGTGTGTGACAGAGTCTCGCTCTGTTGCCCAGGCTGGAGTGCAGTTATGCTTTCTCAGCTCACTGCAATCTCTGCCTCCTGGGTTCAAGCGATTCTTCTGCCTCAGCCTCCCGAGTAGCTGGGACTACAGGCGCCCACCACCACTACTGCCCAACTAATTTTTGTATTTTTAGTAGAGAAGGGGTTTTCATCATGTTGGCCAGGCTGGTCTCAAACTGCTGACCTTGTGATCCACCTGCCTCGGCCTCCCAAAGTGCTGGGAATACAGACATGAGCCATCAAGCCTGGCCAAGACTTTTTTTTTTTTTAAATAATATTAATAAAATAAAATAAAAAGAAACATAACAAAAGAGAATTCTCAACTTTTAAAGAACTTTTCACCCAATCTGATAGAAAGGCTTGTCAGAGAAAGTTAGAGTTCAGAGGTAGCCAACTGATTATAATAAACTCCAAATGAAGATAAACCTTTTATAAATCATAATTGAAGGCTATAAATATATATATATATTGAGACAGGGTCTTACTCTCTTGCCCAGGCTGGAGTGCAGTGGGATGATCTGGGCTCACTGAAGCCTTGACCTCCTGGACTCAGGTGATCTTCCCAGTTCAGCCTCCTGAGGTGCTGGGACTACAGATACCACCCTGCTTGACTATTTTTGTATTATTATTATTTTTTAGTAGAGATGGGGTTTCTCCATGTTGCCCAGGCTGGTCTCAAACTCCTGGGCTCAAGCAATATGCCCGCCTCAGTTTCCAAAAGTGCTGCGATTACTGGCATGAGCCACTGCTTCTGGCAGGGAATTATTGATAGAATCCTGGATTCCTCAGTGTGCAGTCAATCTCAAAGAGTCTATTCAACCATAGATTTTATGTATTTGTTAGTGAAGGTGACAAAAAATAAGTGATTAAGAGAACGTATTTTCTATCCAATGAGCTATCAAAAGCTTACAGAGTGGAAAGGGAGTGGGGGAAGTCAGGCTGAAAGCAGCTAAGTGGGAAGAAGATTTTGCGTGCAGGTTGACCCAGATTTTCATTCTGGCTACTATATTTTCTAGACTTTGGGCAAGATCCTTAACCTCAGTGTCATCTATTAGGTAATTAAAGTGCACTAGTGCCGCGCTAAACTGTGGTTTTGCTTTCCAAACTTTCAGTTACCTGAGGTCAAGCACAATTTAAAAATATTAAGTGGAAAATTCCAGAAATACATAAGTAATAAATTTTCAATTGCATGACATTAATCTCATGCCGTCCCTGCCCGCTTCCTCTCCAGAGGTGAATGCTCCCTTTGTCTAGCGGCTCCACAATGACTACATTCCCCAAGTTGGTCTCTTAGGAACCCTATGTTCAAGAAACCCTTACTTTTTAAAATTATGACTCCAAAGCATAACAGTAGGGATGCTGGCATACTGTTATAATTGTTCTATTTTATTATTAGCTATTGTTGTTAATTTCTACCTGTGACTAATTTATGAATTCAACTTTATCATAGCTATGTATGTACATATAGGAAAAAAACATGGTATGTATAGGGTTCAGTACTATCTGTGATTTCAGGCATCCGCTGGGGGTCTTGGAACATATCCCCCGTGGATAAGGGGGAACTACTGTAAAAGTTTGTGTTTTATAGGGTAGTTGTGAGAACTACAATTAATCCATAATGTGTGGTTTGTGATACTCATTGATAGATGGTAGTTATAACAGTAAAAAATTATATTATCAAGTAACTGATTCATAATTGACTCTCAAAAACGTTTATTTCCTGCTTTCCTTTACCTAAGTTTACTGACATGTTCGAGTTTGTAAAGAGGAGGTTTTTCTAGAGCATTAATTTTCAAATGATTTTTGCTCTCTCATACTCCCTCAAAGGAACTGAAAAAGTTGTAACACACTTGCATGTGATTTTTTTTTATATAAGTTGAAAGAATAGCAAATTGTTATTTTCCCATGCATTGTAAATATCAGCATGTCATCCCTCTTTAAAATGTACCTATTGGAATCTAAATATCATCGCAATTTGACCCAGCATCATCCACTTAAACAAATATACAAGTTTTTCTTTTATTTTATTTTCTTTTTTTTTTGAGACAAAGTCTTGCTCTGTCACCCAGGCTGGGAGTGCAGTGGCACG